ATTCACACACTGGACCATATCTGACGTCATCGCCTTCCAAAAAAAAAATACTGGATTCTTATAGGACTATCTAGTGGTAGGACCTGTGTTTTCATTATTAAGATCACATTTTGGATTATATTGACATTCTGTAAGTCCCACATTTTTGTGTAGGGAAAAAATATATTTTATTAAAATATACACAGCTTGTTGGCTTTCACTCTTTTCTTTGTTGCTCTGAACGAGCCCTTGTTACGCAACATAGAAAATTGGTAGCTCATCCTGGGATTTGTGAATTTTATTTAAATATTTCAGAAAGTTTGTTTTTGAAATTTAAATTTACCTAGTTTTTAAATCCCAAGTACTATTTTACATTTTTATTTGAATCAGGCTTTCATTTACAATATCATCAAAAGTGGAAACGTTTCTTTCTAATACAACTGAACAGTAGTTGGATAGTTTTAAGAAAGACGAGTTGCTTTAACTTTCCAGAAAGTACGATCTTTCTGAAGCAAAATCGTCCTTAAAGAAACGAGAAATTAAAAGTATTTTGATCTAATATTTGGTTGGGAAGACTGATTTTGGTAAAAGTGTTTTGGTATCAGTCTGTAAGTCTATGACAGACGCTAACGTTAAAGTAATGAAAATAAAGATAAAATTCAAAATGGAAGTAGAATTAAAGAAGTTAGAGCTTCAGAGAGAAGAAAAGGAGAAACAAATGTAGTTGCAAGAGAAATAATTGCAATTGCAATTTGAGGAGAGAGAAAGAGAAAGAGAGACAGGAGACAAGTATTTTATCTATTTTGAAAACGTTGTTGAAATTTTGAAATGGCCAATGGCGCCTTGGACTACATTATTGCAATGTGTACTTTTGGGCAAAACCCAAAATATCTATGCATCTTTGTCAGTATAGCATATATCGGATTTGGTTAAGGAGTGCATATTATGTGCTGATGCGTTAGTCCCTGAGACTTATGGGCAAAAATTCAGAAGCTATAAAAAAAGAAGCTGGGCAGACTTATGTTGAATTTGCTAGAGAAAAAGAACAGCTATTCGAGAGATAGTGCTTAGCCAAAACACGTTGAGAATGATTATGAAAATATAAAACAACTTGTGTTACTTAAAGAGTTCAAAAACTGTGTCGCTAGTGACATTAAGAATCATCTTGAAGAGCATGAGATTAAAACCTTGGAAAATGCTTTTCTTCCTGCTGATAAGTACTCTTTAACTCATAAAGCTCCTGTTGTAAGCAAAACGTTCGCTCATCAGTCTGCTGTTATTAAGGCATTTCATCTTAATACGACTCTAAGTAAAAATTAATCTATCACAAATGCTAACAATCAAGCTTCTGAGAGACTTGATTCATTATCTTTGTCTCTGTCTACCTGTACCTATTGGAAGAAAAAAGACACGTCATTTCTGATTGCTTCAAATTGCAATATGAGCATCAGAATCAAGATAGACCTATCCCAAATGCTCTTATTTCCTAGAGGTCATGGTTACGGTCATGTATTGAAAGAAATACATTTGTTGGGTCTAATAAACCTTGGTCTTATTTTATCATGGAGAATATTGAACCATTCGTGTTGAAAGGATAAATTTCACTCTTAAGTGATACAGCCAATCCTATCACTATTAAAACTTTAAGGGATACGGGAGCTTCTCAGAGTTTTTTAGTGTCTTCTTCTGAGACGTCATGTTCTAATGAAAGTGTTCTCATTCAGGGAGTAGAGTGCGGCTTTGTTAATGTTCCCTTCCATCCTGTAAATTTGTCATCAGACTTAGTTTCAGGACCTGTGACGGTCGACATATTGTATAACCTACCCGTTGAGGGCATTCATTTGTTGCTAGACAACGACCTAGCTTGAGACAAGATTGTGGTTAATCCACTTGTAACTGACACGCCTTCTTTGGATCAGAAACTTTATCCAATTGAAAAAGAATACCATGAGCTATACCAAGCTTGTGTAGTTACAAGAGCTATGTTAAAGAATGATCTTGAGAATGATTTTCATAAGAAAGATATTCGTTTTGCTGACATGTCACTTTCACTTAACTTGGATCAGTCGAGTGGAATTTGTCACAGTGATCCTCTTTTAAATATTCGTTCTCATTTATCTAATTAGGGTGATAAACGACAATCACTTGTCGTCGCACAGGAAAAAGATCCTGAAATCTCCTGTTTGTTTCAGATGACCGTCAGTGAAATTGTATCAACTGAAGTACCTGTATTTTACTCCATTATAAAAGGAATTCTTATGACAAAATGGAGACCTCCCGAGGTACCTGATAATGATGACTGGTGAATAAACTATCAGACTGTAGTTTCTAAATCGTACAAACACGAAATACTTAGTTTGGCCCATGAAACTCCTCTGGCTGGTCATTTAGGGATAAATAAAACTCATACCACGATCTGACTCATTTGTATTGGCCAAAAATTAAAATTCATGATTGCAAATTTTGTAAATCGTGTCATAATTGTCAAATGGTAGGAAAACCCAACCAGAAGATATATAAGGCTCATCTACAACCAATTCCTGCATTTAACGAACCATTTTAAAAAAAATATGGTAGATTGTATTGGTCTCATACTTTAGACCAAGTCAGTCAGGCAATATTTGTTGACTATTATATGTGCGTCAACAAGATTCCTAGAGGAAATTCCTTTGAGAAATATTAAAACCAAAACTATATTAAAAGTTTTAATAAAGTTTTTCTTTCTAAATTTGGCCTTCCTGAATCTGTCCAATCCGATCAAGGGTCAAATTTCATGTCTGGAATTTTCCAGTAAGCTATGCATGAATTGGGCATTAAACGATTTAAATCCTCTGCCTATCATCCTGAGAACTAGGGGGGGGGCCTTATAAAGATTCATCAGACTTTAAAGAACATGATTCGATCTTATTGCTTTGATACTAGCAAAGATTGGTATGAGGGCATTCATTTTCTTTCATTTGCTGCAAGGGAGTACGTTCAGGAATCTTTAGGATTCGGTTGCTTTGAACTAGTTTTCGGACATGCCCACTCCACAAATCCCCTCCAGGCCAAGTATTACGGTCCATACACGGCTGAAATGAAAGTAAATGATTTAAATTACATCATAAATACTCCTGGTAGGCTAAATCAAAAACATCTTTACCTTATTAACATGCTAAACTGAGGATTTATGTGAAGAAATTCAATTGGACACCGTTTAACCTGGAGCAACAAATCTTCGGAATTCGGAAATTATGAAAGATCTAGACCAGAAACATTTACATTTGCAACAAGAAGAAAGAAATGAACTTAAACATTTATTATTCAAATATGAGCACTTGTTTCCGAATATTCCGTCGAGGACAAATAAAATGTTTCATGATGTTGAAATTGTTGATTCAAAACCTGTAAAACAACACCCATAAAGGATGAACCCTCTCAAACAAGAATTCTTGAAAAATGAAATTCAGTATTTGCTGGAAAACAATTTCATAGAGCCTAGTAAAAAACAATTTGGAGTTCACCATGCATACTTCTTCCGAAACCGGATAAACTTTCTGTACGAGCACTGACTATAGGAAGATGAACAGCGTGACAAAAATTTGATTCATTTCCGTTACCAAGGATCGATGATTGCATTGATAAAATTGTAAAAGCCAAGTACGTCACCAAATTTTACCTTCTAAAAGGAATTGGCAAATTTCCACTTACGGAAAGAGAGAAAGAAATTTGATGACATCATTAAATGACATCAAGCTACGATTCAAAAATTCTTTGAAAGACTCACTGATGTTAATTTGACAATCAATTTATCTATAAATAAGTTATGCCATGCTCGTGTGACTTGATTAGAACATATTGTGGGACTTGGTAAAGTCTAACCTATTGATAAAAAGGTGAAGGTTATCTCTGATTGTTCTTTGCCTCTCAGTAAGAAATAAATAATGCGATTTTTGGGTATAGCCGGATACTACAGAAAGTTTTGTTAAAATTTTTCTAATATTTCTAGAATTTTAATGAACCATTCTTAAAAAGGAAAGTGCATGAAGAAATGTCTTGAGAATCTGATATTTCAATACGAACTACTAAAATGTTTTCGATATGTAACCTTAAAAAATTTGTGAACATGCTGCATTGCAGGAAGGTTGCACGATGTGGGGCTGTTAATGGCCTCGTTCCTTAAAATTTATTATATGATCAAACCACTAATACCCGACCGTGATATTCGTCCATGTTGAAACCAGAGTGTTTTCTTGTTCTAGGTTCTCGCTGTTTCTGTTTGGATAAGTAACTTGGTAGATCGACTCCAAAATTATGAATAGTTATTCTCATTAAACTTAGAAACGCAACTTCTGACAGTAAGTTCAGATGATTGCATCATGATTACCCGGTGGCACTCTATTAATGATATCTTGTCTTATGTTTATATTTCATTATGTGTGTGTATTTTGCTCCCTTATTGTCTTAAATGCCATCTAATATAATCGTATATTAGTTTCAAATAATGTTAATGAAGTGAGGCTAGTACGTCTGAGGTCTGACACTCTCAATACTACGCTAGATATCTCATAGATTCATTAAAAAGTCTGACTTATAATAGAATCACTATTACGTTCATGGTCTCAACTGAGGGAGAAAATCAGGAATTATCTAATAGAGTGAGGTGGATCATTTTAGAACGCCAGGAGTGTCAATTATAAACTTACATAAAAAATGTAAAAAGGATACACACAAAATTAAAAGAAAGAAGAAAGGAAAGAAAAGAAAAAGTTTAAACAGTTGTAAATACTTATATATATATATATATATATATATATATATATATATATATATATATATATATATATATATATATATATATTTACTCGCAGACCTGGGTTCAAAACTCCGTAGAGTACGAATTTAATTTCTCAAACACCTGTATGATAGTACATGTATTGTTTGTATTAAACTATATATATATATATATATATATATATATATATATATATATATATATATATATATATATATATATATAACATTTTTTTTACTGCTCTGGTGGTGTGGTGGCCTAGTGGTTAGAGTTTCCGCCTCGAACACGGGAGGTCGCTAGTTCGAATCCCGGCCAAGTCATACCA